TTAAACTACTTCAGAGGCTTTCTTCAACTGCTTAGCTTGTCTTATTCCACAGAGTAGCTAATTGCTTTTACAGATAGTTGATTTTAACTTTTCTGACCTAAAAAGTGGCAGGAATTAGGATCATGTAGCATCCTGGAAAGCAGTGAGGTTCATTTACTCACCTTTGTGGTGAGACTGAGAGCGTAGGCTGAAGCACTGTTCTCCTTGGATGAAAAAGAGTTAAGTGCTAGGAATTGGCTTTAGAATTAAAGAGCAGTTTAGTGTGGAAGGGACCCTTAAAAATCATCTAGTTCCAACCCCTGCTACAGGCAGGGACACCTCCATCTAGACCAGGTTGCTCAAAACCCCATCCAGAATAAGTGAAATATGTGCTATGATTTTTCCAATACTAGTGAGAGATTTCTTAGTTCTCACGTACAGATGTAGGTAGCTCTAATTCTGTACGTGCACTTGCCGTACCTGCTGGCTTGATTTGAAATGATGGGGATAAGCTAATAAGTAGAAGATGCTGTATGCTTCATTGCTGCTATTGTTTTTGGCCTACTAGATCTGATGAACAAAATGAGCTATGAAGTGAGTCGAGGTCTGTGTGTGTGGGGATACAAACGTAATATATATGTAATACCGAGCAGCAGCCAGAAGGTGTCAGAATTGCTCCGTGTTCCAAGGCAGTTGTCTAGACTAAACTGTGTAGCTGGTCCAGTCATTCACCAACTGCTGACTGTTATGGAATTGCTGTGGGGGCTCACAAGCTGCAGGCTGTGCTAAGTTGCAGAGTCGCCCTCTACAAACGGATGAGGTACATTTAAGTAATGTTTTTGGAGTCATTGCATTTTTTCTTTTAAAAGGGGTTCCTTTGTCTTTTTGCACCAAGAACGAGGGACTGAAAAAAAGCTTGTTGTTAGATATTTCAGAATGTGGGAGTTGAACAAAATGACTTTGTGAGCTGCAAGATTGAGAGACAGGTTTAGCAGAAAATATCTGGAGGGTGACAGCCTTGCACGTTGTTACCTGCCTCTCGCTCACCTGCCGTACTCTGAGAACCGCTTTGGTGTTCCTGGAACATCAAGGTGGGGGTAGGAAGGGCAGGGGAGGTGGCTGCCAGGTTCGTGCTGCTCAGTCTGGATTTGCACGAGGGTAGCATCAGCTGTCTGTGTGGAATAACCTGACTGTAGTGTGGATTGTGTCACAGATGGTCTATGAACGGTACCACCCTTTCTGTTTTTCTGTTCTGGGAAGCATGCCCTGGCCCTTGTGTCATTTTTTCCCCACAGTTTCCTATCTAAAGGTGTGTTGTGCTATGGTGTGGTTTTTGGTGTATATTAATTTGGTTTGGGTTATCAAAGCTTACGCTGACTCTTAGAGGAATCCTAGAAAATTGTATTCTCCACAGAATTGTATAGGATAATTTTTTTGCTGTTTGATAGCGTGCGCTAGAATATGTAAGGATAAGAGATGCTTAGTAGTTAGAAAGAACACATTTTTAGAGAATGAAATAGATCCTTTTGTTTAAGTTTCATGAATTATAGATGATGTATGTCAGTGCCTGATGCCATAGCTATTTTGAGAGAAGTAATTAAAGATGTGAGAATTAAATGCTTTGAAAGTGATGGGGATACGTTGTCAGTGGCTTTGGGTGTATAAGCTCTGCATAGAACGATCCATAATAAGCTAATTAGCATTAAAGGTAATAATAGCATTTGATGCTACGAAGGAGGCCTTTTAATGAACACCCTTGACTTAAGGAAAGCAATCCAGACATCACTGAAGGTTTAAAAAAAAAAAATCAATGTCACGTATTTTCATGAGGTATAAATACCGTGTGGTTTGCTGATTGAAGAACGTGAAACAACTCTCACCTTATCCTGCATTAAATGTGTTAAAATCTGAATAAGGAGAGATCACAAGAGTGAGTGCCCAGCTAGCAAGATCAGAGAGGGACTGCTGCTGAATATTTTAATAGTTAAGCTGGAAGTAACGGTAAAGTTTGGATGAATATTATGGACCGTACTCAAATGGGGACATACTAATGTGGGGACAGGGCACCTACGCTGGGCTGCAGCCCCGACAGCAGAGTTGCAGGGCTTCAGACTGCACTGAAACCTCCCTTTTGTTTTCAGAGTAACTCCAAAACAAATCCCAGCACTGTCACAGCCTGGGTAGAGCACAGCAAAGGAGCCCCAAACCTTTCAGCTCCCTTTCTAGACCCCTCAGATAACTCCAAGAATCCTCCCTCCCTTTAGCAATCTCACCCTCTCCCTGGGCGGCTAGGACTGTAGGCTTCTTCTTGGCCATGAGCTCTCCATCCCGCTCTCAGAGCTCTCACAGAGCTCAGGCATCTTCAGCTCTACCTGATATGGCTTCTCAAGCATCCACCTGCCTTTGCATCACATGCATCTCCCTGCCTTTGCTTTGGAAGCATGCACATGCTTCCCTTTGCTAAGCAAGCCCACAGCTGCATTAGCTTTGCATGCATCTGCCTGCCTTTGCTTTGCAAGTACCTTCCTTTCCATGGCCTACGAAGAGGTCTGTTCTTTATTAGCAATGCCTCTGTACACACTGAAAACCACGAGGAAGAGTCCATGACACAAAGTCAGAGAGATTCTTGGGGCACAAGGGACCATTTCACAAGAACAAGCTCCCTGCCATCTACGTGAACACTGTTCCATTCCTGCAGCACCGTTAGCCAAGTCGGGGCTGTCCCACACAGATCAGTCACTTCCACTGCTAACTCTCTCATGTAACTTGTGATAGGATTCAAGGGAAGTTGCACCAGGGGAGATTCAGGCTGGATGTTAGGAAAGACTACTTCTCCAAAAGAGTGGTCAGGTACTGCAATGGGCTGCCTAGGGAGGTGGTGCAGTCACCCACCCTGGAGGTGTTCAAGGAACATTTAGGCATCGTGTGGAGGGGCATGGATTAGTGAGAACTGTTGGTGATAGGTGGACGGTTGGACTGGATGATCTTGTAGGTCTTTTCCAACCTTGGTGATTCTAGAATTCTAAGCCCTTGCTAATTGACCTATCATGGCTATTACCATTTTCAAGACCTGCTACTTCATGTGGGCAGATGAATTTCTTAGCTACTTCCCTCCTGCCCCAATGGTGGTCACACTGCATGATCCCCACTTGACAGGCTGGAACAGCAGCAAGTTGTACGTCTGGGTTTTTCAAGTCCCTTTTAATTTCAGGAGAGAATAGAACAGCCTGAACAAAAAGGGTGCAGCGGGGCTCTCTCTAGGACGCCTGTTGTCTCAGCAGATTTCACAGTTACTTAAAATGCACACAGCACCTACAAAACCATCGTGCTCAAACAAGGAAAGAAAACAAGTCCACGATGCCGTGAAGGGCTCCTAACTCTTAGTAGGTGATACCTGCTCCGTGGGCACAGGATGCACACAAATTGCTCCTCATCTCTTCCCCATCCCCCATCCACCCCCCACTCCCCCCATAATTTCCACAGGCATTTAGAGACGCCGCGGAAAGACAACATAAGGCTTGTGGAGAAGACTGGATGTACATGAGGTTTTTCCCTTCCCTGGTGCTAGAGCACTGCTTGTCTAGATGATGAATACTGTTCATACAAGCACCAACCAAGCACGGCAACAAACAACTGAAATGGTATTTCCCCTGCAAATCAAGCAGCATGTCCAAAGATCTCACCTTAGAGACTTGCCAAAAAGGCCAGAACCATTACTTCCTTTTGGCAGGCTTACTCACAGAACAGCAGGCTTCTCTTCACCGTGCATCACATGGACACAGACTGTGCAAGGAGGACAATTTCACCTGAGCACCTCACCATAAACGTTCCCTCCACCCTGCTTTTCTGCAGAGATACAAGGATAAAAACCTCAGTTCCTCCAAGCAATGACTGGAAGGAACTCTGGAAAATTCTCCATTTGAAACCAGCACCTTTATGGTCTTGGTTCCTGACTGCTCCTTTGGATCACCTTTCAGGTACAGTGTAAGAGGTTCTCTTGTACAAATCTATCTACCTTGGTACCTTTTTCCACCCCAAAACTAATTCAGACAGAGTTGTGATGCAGACGTTGGACACTGAGAAGAGAAAATATAGGTAAGAAGAAGGTACGGGTAAGGAAGAAGTGCAGAAGATGAAAAGCACGATAGGATACAGGCAAGACAGCAAGAGAGATGAGCAGGAGCAGAGAGAACAAAGGTAAGAGACTATGAGAAGGATAAAAGCAGAAGGAGAACAGACAAGAAAGAAACAAGCGCAGAGAAGAAGAAAAAGGATGGAGGCAGACAAGGAGACAAGCAGACAAGGAGAAAAGCAAAAGAGGTATTAGCAGATACAGAGAAGACCAAAGCAGAAGTGATTTGTGAGGCACAATCGTTGAGGCAGGAGGTAGAAGTATTCCTTTGTGTGTCCACACAAAGTTATTGAGGAGGAACGAGGCTGCTCTCCCACTAAAGCTGAAATGAAAGGTTCAGAACTATCACTCGTGGATTCTTTTTGCTAAACTCATATGTTGGTTCTTAAACTGATGTGCTAAGCCCTGCTGCTGAACAGAGCACCCCACATCAATCCCTGCTTTTCCATCAGGATTATGATGTTCACATTCTAATCCTCACCACCTTTGACTTTTCATGCTTAGAGACACATCTTCAACATCCAATCACGCTACAAGGAAGGATGCACATGTACAGCGATTGCACACACCATTTCCACAGATAACTTCTTTAGCCACTGCAATTTGGGAAGCCAGGAAGTCATGTTGGTTTCACTTCCCCTTGTCTTATGTTGTGCAGTATTTCAGTTTGGTGCCATATCTTATCTACATCTGCTTCAATCCCCTTTCACCACCCCCTCCCCCCCCTTCAAGTCGTCCCATTTTCTCCCCTAGATTCATCCCCCCCACCCTCTTGTCCCTTCTATCTGACCCTCAGAATTCCCCGTTCCCTCAAGTACCCCTGCTCCAATTCCCCCATTCAATCCCGTATTGATCCCATATCCCAAAATACAAAGAAACGCTACCAACAGAACACCAACGAAATAGGATTTAACGTCATGGCAAAACAGAGATGACAACTGACAAACAAAAAACAAGAAAAAACAAAAAGCAAACACAAAAGAACACACAAAAAACACTAAGACATCATTGAACAACATCCTGGAGGCATCGGCTTCAGGCCAGGCAGAGCACAGAGCATCACAGCGCAGATGACATCAGCCGGGTTCCGGGAACCTTTATGCTGTCACAGTGCGTTTCCATGAGGACAGAGGGCCCTGCCCAAGTACAGCCGGCAGCTGGGTCCAGGCACCTCCAGTGTGAGCTGCGCTGCCTGCAGCTGCTCGCCATACCCTGTGCCTCAGAGTAGCCCCGGCAGCAGACGAGCTCAGCTTGATCCTGCTCTGGGTTGTGGTCAAGTGTTCCTGTTTGGTGTGATTGGTGAGTACTGAGATAACCTTCTGGGTTAAGCTTTAGACTTCCTAGATCGGTTAGGCTTAAGACTTATGTGTCAAGCGTTACGCATCTGGGTCAGGTTTAAAGGTTACCCTTCTGGGTGAGGGCGAAGCGTTAAGGCAAACGGTTTTGGGTTTGTGTCAACGGTTTCTCCCTGGGTTTAGGCAAACCCTAACCCAAATGGAAACCCTTAATTCATAATCCAAAACGGCAACCATTAAACCAAACCAAAACTGGGAACCCATAACTCTTACCCCTTACCCAACACAGTAATCCTTTACCCCTTCATAATGGGGTAACCCATTACCCAAACTCATAACAACTAAAACTAAACAAAAGAGAAACCGATAACACAAATACAAAATGTTGTCACTGCCTGGGATGAACGGAGAGCAGCGGATGTAGTCCACCTTGATTTCAACAAGGAATTTGATACTGTATCCAAAAACATCCTTATAACAAAGCAGAAAAAGTGTGGGATACATGAGGGGACATTGAGATCGGTTGAAAACAGGCTGACTGGCAGAGCAGTCAGACAATATAAAAGCTAAGAAAATCTAAGGAGAGAACATGGAGAAAAAAAAAACAGAATAAAAGAAGCAAAGAAGAAAGTAGAACACAGCAAAGCAATGCCGGAAAACCAAGAGCCAAGGAACAAAATGAAGAACAAAAAGGAAAGCAAACCAAAAAAAAAAAACAAACATGACATTAACAATGGACAGCTAAGGAGCACTACAGAAAAAAAAACCAAAGAGAACAAAGGAAAGCAAACCAAAAAGAGACAATACACTGAAAGAAAAAGAACCAACCAAAAAGAAAAATAAGCACCAAAAACCCAAACCAAAGGAGCAGGAAACAAAAGCCAAAAGGAAAAGAAAAGGAGCCAAGTAAACCGGGAGAAAAAGTACAAAAAAAAGCAAGGGCATTGACTGCAACAATATGGCAAAGCAAAAAATTCAGAGCAACACAGTGAGACAATATAAAAGCTAACAAAACCTAAGGGGAGAGCATGGAGGGAAAAAAAAAGTAAACCAGAGTGAAAGTCAAGAAGCAAGTTTGAAAGTAGGGCAAAGTAAAGCAATGCCCGAAAACCAAGAGCCAAGGAACAGAATGAACAACCAAAAGGAAAGCAAACCAGAAAAAACAAACAAAGATGAAATGAACAAAGCAGAGCAAAGGAAAAGGAGCAATAGAGAAAGCAAAACCAAGTAGAAAAAAGAAAGCAAACCAATGTGACCAATGGAAAAACAGACAATGAAGGGAAAGACAAAGAACCAAAGCCCACCAACAGAACAGCAAAGCAATCGGATTCAATGAGACAGAAAAGCAAAGGTGACAAGAGACTGCGGTGCCGGCAAAAACTCACCATCCGTGCCTGGGAGGAGGACAGGGTAGCTACTGGGCATGCTGCCACCCCCAGCAGAGATGCACGTCCTCAGCTGATGCCCGTGGAGGAGTCTGCGGCTGCAAGCAGGACAAAACATCTCTCTGGAGGAAGGGAAAGCGCTGGTGGTCATGCCGAGGAGGAGGTCAGGGTAGCTACCGGGCACGGATGCTGCCAGGCATCTGAAGAAACGCCTCAAGTCCACATTGAGGACAGAGGCAAGGACAGGGAGGATGTAAGAATGAACAATCCAGAAGGCTAACGTCAGGTAAGTAAAGGCAAGGTAAGAGGAAGGAAGCAGCCATGGGGACGAGGAAGGAGGAAGAACGTAATGAAAGCAAAAGAAAAAGAAGAGAATAGAGAAGGCATACTACCAGAATGCAAAGGCATGGTCTGGAAAGAAAAAGAACCAACCAAAATGAAAAATAAGCACTAGAAAGCAAAGCCAAAGGAGCAGGAAACAAAAGCCAAAAGGAAAAGAAAAAGAGCAAAGTAAACAAAGGGAAAAAGTACCAAAAAAAAGCAAGGGCGTTGACTGCAACAATATGGCAAAGCAAAAAATTCAAAGCAACACAGTGAGACAATATAAAAGCTAACAAAATCTAAGGGGAGAGCATGGAGGAAAAAACAAGTAAACCAGAGAGAATGTCAAGAAGTAAATTTGAAAGTAGGGCAAAGCCAAGTAACGCCCAAAAACCAAGAGCCAAGGAACAGAATGAACAAACAAAAGGAAAGCAAACCAAAAAAAAACAAACGAACATGAAATGAACAAAGCAGAGCAAAGGAAAAGGAGCAGTTGAGAAAGCAAAACCAAGTAGAAAAAAGAAAGCAAACCAATGTGACCAATGGAAAAACAGACAATGAAGGGAACGACAAAGAACCAAAGCCCACCAACAGAACAGCAAAGCAATCGGATTCAATGAGACGGCAAAGCAAAGGTGACAAGAGACTGCGGTGCCGGCAAAAACTCACCATCCGTGCCTGGGAGGAGGACAGGGTAGCTACTGGGCATGCTGCCACCCCCAGCAGAGATGCACGTCCTCAGCTGATGCCCGTGGAGGAGTCTGTGGCTGCAAGCAGGACAAAACATCTCTCTGGAGGAAGGGAAAGCGCTGGTGGTCATGCCGAGGAGGAGGTCAGGGTAGCTACCGGGCACGGATGCTGCCAGGCATCTGAAGAAAAGCCTCAAGTCCACGTTGAGGACAGAGGCAAGGACAGGGAGGATGTGAGAATGAACCGTCCAGAAGGCTAACGTCAGGTAAGTAAAGGCAAGGTAAGAGGAAGGAAGCAGCCATGCGGACGAGGAAGGAGGAAGAACGTAATGAAAGGAAAAGGAAAAGAGGGGAAAAGAGAAGGCATACATTCAGAAAGCAAAGGCATGGTCTGGCAAGAAAAAGAACCAACCAAAAAGAAAAATAAGCACTAAAAAGCAAAGCCAAAGGAGCAGGAAACAAAAGCCAAAAGGAAAAGAATAAGAGCAAAGTAAACAAAGGGAAAAAGTACCAAAAAAAAGCAAGGGCGTTGACTGCAACAATATGGCAAAGCAAAAAATTCAAAGCAACACAGTGAGACAATATAAAAGCTAACAAAACCTAAGGGGAGAACATGGAGGAAAAAATAACAAACCAGAATGTAAGACAAAAAGCAAATTTGAAAGTAGGACAAAGCAAAGAAACGCCCAAAACCAAGAGCCAAGGAACAGAATGAACAACCCAAAGGAAAGCAAACCAAAAAAAACAAACAAAGATGAAATGAACAAAGCAGAGCAAAGGAAAAGGAGCAGTAGAGAAAGCAAAACGAAGGGAACAAAGGAAAGCAAACCAATGTGATGCAATGGAAAAACAAACACAATAAATGGAAAGACAAAGAACCAAAGCCCACCAACAGAACAGCAAAGCAATCGGATTCAATGAGATAGAAAAGCAAAGGTGACAAGAGACTGCGGTGCCGGCAAAAACTCACCATCCGTGCCTGGGAGGAGGACAGGGTAGCTACTGGGCATGCTGCCACCTCCAGCAGAGATGCACGTCCTCAGCTGGCGCCAGTGGAGGAGTCTGTGGCTGCAAGCAGGACAAAACATCTCTCTGGAGGAAGGGAAAGCGCTGGTGGTCATGCCGAGGAGGAGGTCAGGGTAGCTACTGGGCACGGATGCTGCCAGGCATCTGAAGAAAAGCCTCAAATCCACACTGAGGACAGATGCAAGGACAGGGAGGATGTAAGAATGAACCGTCCAGAAGGCTAACGTCAGGTAAGTAAAGGCAAGGTAAGAGGAAGGAAGCAGCCATGGGGACGAGGAAGGAGGAAGAATCTAATGAAAGCAAAAGGAAAAGATGAGAACAGAGAAGGCATACTACCAGAATGCAAAGGCATGGTCTGGAAAGAAAAGGAACCAACCAAAAAGAAAAATAAGCACTAGAAAGCAAAGCCAAAGGAGCAGGAAACAAAAGCCAAAAGGAAAAGAAAAAGAGCAAAGTAAACAAAGGGAAAAAGTACAAAAAAAAGCAAGGCTGTTGACTGCAACAATATGGCAAAGCAAAAAATTCAAAGCAACACAGTGAGACAATATAAAGCTAACAAAATCTAAGGGGAGAGCATGGAGGAAAAAACAAGTAAACCAGAAAGAATGTCAAGAAGCAAATTTGAAAGTAGGGCAAAGCCAAGCAATGCCCGAAAAGCAAGAGCCAAGGGACAGAATGAACAACACAAAGGAAAGCAAACCAAAAAAAGCAAACGAACATGAAATGAACAAAGCAGAGCAAAGGAAAAGGAGCAGTTGAGAAAGCAAAACCAAGTAGAAAAAAGAAAGCAAACCAATGTGACCAGTGGAAAAACAGACAATGAAGGGAAAGACAAAGAACCAAAGCCCACCAACAGAACAGCAAAGCAATCGGATTCAATGAGACGGCAAAGCAAAGGTGAGAAGAGACTGCGGTGCCGGCAAAAACTCACCATCCGTGCCTGGGAGGAGGACAGGGTAGCTACTGGGCATGCTGCCACCCCCAGCAGAGATGCACGTCCTCAGCTGGCGCCCGTGGAGGAGTCTGGGGCTGCAAGCAGGACAAAACATCTCTCTGGAGGAAGGGAAAGCGCTGGTGGTCATGCCGAGGAGGAGGTCAGGGTAGCTACCGGGCACGGATGCTGCCAGGCATCTGAAGAAAAGCCTCAAGTCCACGAAGGATGTAAGAATGAACAATCCAGAAAGCTAACATCAGGTAAGTAAAGGCAAGGTAAGAGGAAGGAAGCAGCCATGGGGACAAGGAAGGAGGAAGAACGTAATGAAAGCAAAAGGAAAAGATGAGAACAGAGAAGGCATACTTTCAGAATGCAAAGGCATGGTCTGGCAAGAAAAAGAACCAACCAAAAAGAAAAATAAGCACTAGAAAGCAAAGCCAAAGGAGCAGGAAACAAAAGCCAAACGGAAAAGAAAAAGAGCAAAGTAAACAAAGGGAAAAAGTACAAAAAAAAGCAAGGGCGTTGACTGCAACAATATGGCAAAGCAAAAAATTCAAAGCAACACAGTGAGACAATATAAAAGCTAACAAAATCTAAGGGGAGAACATGGAGGAAAAAATAACAGAACAAACCAGAATGAAAGACAAAAAGCAAATTTGAAAGTAGGACAAAGCAAAGCAACGCCCAAAAACCAAGAGCCAAGGAACAGAATGAACAACCAAAAGGAAAGCAAACCAAAAAAAACAAACGAAGATGAAATGAACAAAGCAGAGCAAAGGAAAAGGAGCAGTAGAGAAAGCAAAACGAAGGGAACAAAGGAAAGCAAACCAATGTGATGCAATGGAAAAACAAACACAATAAACGGAAAGACAAAGAACCAAAGCCCACCAACAGAACAGCAAAGCAAACGGATTCAATGAGACAGAAAAGCAAAGGTGAGAAGAGACTGCGGTGCCGGCAAAAACTCACCATCCGTGCCTGGGAGGAGGACAGGGTAGCTACTGGGCATGCTGCCACCTCCAGCAGAGATGCATGTCCTCAGCTGGCGCCCGTGGAGGAGTCTGTGGCTGCAAGCAGGACAAAACATCTCTCTGGAGGAAGGGAAAGCGCTGGTGGTCATGCCGAGGAGGAGGTCAGGGTAGCTACCGGGCACGGATGCTGCCAGGCATCTGAAGAAA